AATGAACTCAGCGCCTGCCTGGTTTTGCCCATACCCGTCCAAGGTCCCAACTGGCTGGAAAGAGAACTGGAGGAGATGGGAACGTAAGATAGGAGTATCTTATCTTAGACTAAAGAAGAAATCCTTTTCCTTGTTTAAAAAACTCAAAAACCCCCACAAAACCAAAAACGCTTCCTCCTATTCCTCCTGTCTTCTGTGTCTGTTTCAGGTTCCTAGTGGAGAGGGAGAGAGGAGACAAGAGGGAGAAAGGGAGAGAGAAAGATCGCGCGTGACAGAGAAGGGGAGAAAGAGGGAGAGAGAGAAAAGGAGAAAGAAAGCTTTAAACAAAAGACAAGGAGGTGCAGGCAGGGGTCTGAGCCTTCCTTCGGGGACCTCTTCGCCTGGAGCCTCTCCAGTCCCCCGGCCCTGCATTTTCGGGCGTTCGGCAGGCTTGGCGGAACCGGCCCGCACTCCACGCGGCTGGAGAAGTGGAGACAAAGCCCAACAACCAATTTCCTCCCAGCGCTGCTCGAGCCCGCGCCCGGGGCAGGCGGCCTGTGTTCCAGGCTCTGACCGGAGAGGGGCGCCGGGTCTTCTGCGCCGGCCCGCGGCCTCGCCGCCCGGGTCGCCCTAGCCCACCCGGTTCTCCTCGCACCACTCAGCAAGCTGCCCTCGGGAACCCGCGAGTTCAAAACACGCCTTCTCGTCGGTGAGAGCCCGGTCCCCCTCGCCACTTTCTTCCCAAGCGGAGGCAGCGTCTGCAGGGGTCTCGGCGGCGCTCCTGACCCACGTCTGCTTCCGCGCTGGGCCTCGGAGGCCGAGCGGCCATTTACTGCCCTCTGATTGCACCGAGGACCAGGTTAGCTCATAAAGCCTTTCACACTCAACAATGGGGATTTTCTCAACAATTAACAAGAAACAACATAATAAAGCCATTTACAAAGACCTTGCTATTTACTATAAATTAGGCACTCTTTAAGAGACCAGTGCGTAATTTCACACACTTTACAACTGGGGCTGCATTTTAAACACCCGGGAAAACAAGCTTGTTGCACTTCCCTGTGACCTGTCTGCAGTGCACCTCTATTTCCCCTCTTCCTCTAGAAGCAGCTTTGTTTGCATTGCTGCACTCCAACCTCTCCAACCAAGGGTGGTTTTCCAGGTCACTGTCTCACGTTTCCCGTTTCCAGGTCATCATCCCACTTTCAGAAGCACTGAGAGGTTGCAAGGGACAGGAACCACGGCGCCAAAGGAAGCAGGCCTGGCCCCATTGCGTTTCCCCCACCTAGGGGGTTCCGCCGGGCCTCGCCCGCGCCCTCCCCAGACTCCCGGCCTCAGGTCCTAAGCCACTTCCCAGGAGGCGTTCGCAGCCCCGTCGGCCAGCCCAGTGTGAAGCCCCATCTCTTTGCCACTTGCGTCCCGCACACGCTTTGTGGAGGCCTTGGTCAGCCCTCCGCCCAAGGCTAGAAGCTGGGCCCCATTTGCCTGGGGAAGAGAGCTGCGGCCTGGGTGAGAAGGTGGGAAATGACCAGGCGGCGTGTGCGTGTGCGGGGGTGAGAGATGACTCCAGGCCACACAAAAGGCGCGCCAAGGGATGGGAGGCGGTCCAGTCCCCGAGGGCCGGCCCGGGGGAGGGGGCCAGGCCGGCCGCGCGCACCGGGGTGCAGACCCTTCGGCCCGGGGAGCGAGTTGGTTCATTCAGAGGAGAGCAAGATCTGGGCGGGAAGAAAAAGTCACAAAGAAATTTGTTTGCCACCGTGCAAGATGGCGGCATTCGCACATCTTTCTGGTGGTGGCGGTGGCCCAGGCCAGAGAGCGAGGAGCCGCCCTGGGTCAGTGCGGTGGCCCGAGCTCCGCGCCCAGCGGGCAGGCGAGGGGGAAAGGGACCCCGACGCCCCCTCGGCCCCCTCGGCCTCCGGCCGGGCCTTCGCCAGCCCGGCCGTCCCCTGCCTTCCCTCTTAGCCCGCCAGTCCGTAGCCCCGCGCCAGCAGCCCCTGGACACTGACCCCTGTTTACAAACACAGCCTGGGGGCGGGGTGGGGCCGGCCGGAATGCGGGCTGGCGGGCTGGGGGAGGCGGCCGGCTCCCGAGGACGCCACCAGCAGAGAGGGACGAGGGGTTGGTGCGAGAGAGCGGGCCCGGCAGCTGGAAAGGACTGAACGCCTTGTTTTTGAAACTGTCAATTCCCTCAACCCCTATTGTGAGGGCTTCATGCAAAACATCTCAGGCCTTTTAAAGTAGGAGCTTGTGAGGCCGCCACAGTTTGAAAAGGAGCGAGAAGGAGCGGGGGCCTAGGGTATGGGCAAAGAATGATAGCTGGGCCCCCCTCCTTTTTTTTTCCCCCAGCAAAAAGAGGGCCTGCCAAACAGGTAAAATGCAGCCCTCCCCCCACCTCCTAGATCTGCCCTACGTCCCCACCCCCCAGGCTAGTTTGCAAAATGCCCTCTGGCCTAGGGAGCAAACCAAAACCAAAGCTAGCATTAAAAATAGTTCTTCCTTCCAGGGAAGGGGAAAATCCTGGGGAAGGCCGGGGTGACTGAGAGGACTCCCTAAGGTGGACGCCCTCTTCCTCCTTGCCAATTTCCTGAGGTTAGTTGATGGGGGAGCCTTTAAATTCCCCCCCTAGTTTGGCTCCAGGAACTCCCCTTTTCACATTCTTTTCAGCAGGAAGTTATTTTTCAAGGTGAAGCAAAACTCACCACATTTTCTGTCTTTTGTAGATGCTAATGCTTTATTTTTTTTTAATGGTTGTGTTTTTTGTTTTTGTTTTCATGGAGGATTTTTGTTTTTGTTTTCTTTGAAAGAAAAAAATGCTTTTGAGGAATTAGCCTACATCTCTTCCTGCATGCAAACAAAACTATCATTCTTCTATCAGCAGAAACTTCCAGTTCTTGTGACTGGAACTTTGAGGAATTTCTAGACCATTGAAAGTCACCCAGACACGGATAAGATAAAAATCCACACACCAGCCCATCTAGCTTGTTATTGCTGTTTAGTGGTGGCTCCTTGTTGATTTTGAAATAAACAACCATTATTGAGATTACTCCACTGTAATCAAGTAAGTCAGTACAAAAGGATACCCACTTTAAAAAGTAAATAGTTGAAAATGAGCAAGCTGCATTTTCTAAAAAGGCAGATAACCTAACTGTGGAAGACAGAGTACATAACATCTCTTAAAAAAAATAATTAAATCTTCATTTCACAGTCTTATCAGGAAACTACTTTTACAGGAGACCAAAAATAACTTGTTTCCCAAAAAAGTCAGAGAAGGAGCCCTTTCCTGCATTTTTTCTTATGTCTGTAAGTGTTGAGCTTTACACACAAGAATCAGTGACCCCTGGAACCATATAGTGCCTTTAAAAAAAATTCTATCACCTGAAAACATTTAAGTGTAAAAATGCAATCTATCAATGGAGGTAACTTTTCTTTTTCTCTCAATAAGGCTTAACTTTTTGAACAAATGGGACATTTTCAGCATCTTAGAAAATCAGGATATTGTCATTAATCAGAAACCAACCAACAGGGGGGAAAAAAACTGTGCTGAGAATAGAGCAGAATGGGAAAACAGCTAAGGGGCTCCAAGAAATTGAAAGAATACCTTGTATTTACAAGTTACTGAATACTATTTGGTACACTTTCCTAACAGAAGCCCCAACTCAGGTTTTGCTGTGGTTGGCTGGCTTATAGTAGTACTGTGGGGTGAAATTTGTGTTCACTGCTTCTTTCCTTTTGATGGTATCACTGTGGAATGCCTCGGCCTCCATGCTGCTCATTCTCCAGTTCCTATAAACTGAAACTATTGATTCTCTGAGGGCTGGAGACCAAGTGTCAAAGCTGGAGGCCAATATTTTATGTCAGAAATTCCACAGGGTAAATTTGTTTTAAATTGTGCTTATTCCATCTCGCAGTTGTCCCCCACCCAAGATCTGTAGGCTTCAAATATATTCTCAATTTATAATCTAGGCACAATGATTCCATAGCCAACAGGAAAAGTACTAGTCTAAATATAGTAGTCATCATACTTTGAACTTTCTTGACTTAGCAGTAATTAAAGAGTAGAAATTACAGACTTCCAGTGTGTGTATATCACACTTTTTACAGATTGATTTTGCAGGACAACTCACTGCACCCAAATCCTGTAATGCCTTCCAAAGAGGAAAGAAATGATTGAAAAGCCAATTTTTCAGCTTTCTGGGGCTGTAACTGTAACTTGTACTGGCCTTTGAAATTATGAATTCAAACATGAATTCAAGGATAACATCCCCCAATTTTTGCTTTGACCATGTCTATCATCCCAATAAAAAAGGATCCAGTGAACCTACATCTGGCAACATTCAAGAAGGAAAGGAAGGGAGACAGTTCAAAGCATCTGTTTACTCCATCCAAATGTATTTGGATGCAGGTACTCTCAGCCTCCATCCTTTACAATAAGAGTGAAACCACAGAGTATATACAACAATTAGGGCTGAGACCATCCAGATCTATCTGAAACATTTATAGACAAAAGGAAAATTTCAAAGGGAGTAGGAATTAAAAGGTTAAGGCGGGGAGGGGGGGGAAATGACTGAATTTCCATAAAAAATAGTGACTTAAATTCACACAGTAAATATTTCATTGATGTTTTGTTTTGTTTTGTGATTTATGAGCTATAGAAGCAGCTTCTTAGGTTTAGGATGGCAAAGATCTGAGATACATAACTTGTCAGACTAGGGGAGGTGGACCTCAAATTATTAGATTTAACTTTCATCACAATAGCAATTGATCTCTTCTTCACTTTCTTAAACCTGAAACCTTTTGCACATGATTTGTAACAATCTTCTAAAGTATTGTTATTTAGGAAGAAATCCACTAGTGTTTTTCATAGAACCTGACTGGCCTCATCACATGGTATTACAACAAAACTACACCCAATAAAATGCATTTCTTTCAGGCAAAAACATTACAAGTGAAAATGTCAACAAAACCATTCATTCCTGTTAACTGTTCTTCAATCTGGAATAAGTAGAAATGTATGGAACCAGGAATTTTAAACAGTGTTTTTAATTGAAAATAAAGCTAAAGCATGCTTTTCAACAGTGCAAATTTCCATAATTTTGATTTACTGCTTCCATCATCACAACATAGTACACCAGCATGGCCCTTACCAAGGGCTAGACCCTAACCATTTGTATGTTGAACTACTTTGATTTTAAGTGCAAATATAGATAGTCACCTCTGATTGTCACTTGCAGTAGAAACTCTCCTGCTCTATACACAGGATGGTCTGAAAACAGAAGTTTAGAGAGATGCAGAGAAAGTAAAAGGTAATAAAATCCAAGTGCCTGAGTTCTGGTACCAAAAAGCCCTGAAATAACTTACTTTTCATTTGGGGTATTCTTACAATTCTGACCCATTTTACTTTTCTTGGTCGTATTTACTGCTTTGTCACTATGAAGAGTCAGACCATAAAATATCCTGCTATTAAGAGAAATATTTTAATTGTTTAGCAAGTTTGAGGAGTCATGTTCAGACCACAAGGTAAGCAGGACAATAGTAAGAGTGACCTAATTTAAAACCTTTGGGTGAGAACACAAAAAGGACTTTTCCAATTGCAAGGAGTGGCTGTAAAAGTAAAATCACACCCTTTACCAAAAAAAAAAAAAAAAGACAATCCTATATTTATTTAACTCAGTATATATGAGGCAGCTTTTACCAGCATTCAATCAGAATTCCCCAATCTTTCCACTCAAAAAAATAAAATAAGTGCAACTACTCTTGGAGAGGAAATGAGGGGAGAAAAAGCATAAGATACCCCACAAACAAGAGCTCCAGAAAAGAACACTTTGGGCTCACAGAAACTTCTTGCTACCTCACTGTGTAACCATGTAACCTAACAAACTTTCACTGAATTAACAGTTACACTTGCAGGCCTGAAATCTAGTGCATAAATTTAATGGCTCATTGTAATATTTATTATTCAACCTTTTGACATTTATTTGTAGCAGTTGAATTGAGGTACCGGGTGCATTATTAGCATTGAAACAGTAAAGTGTTCCAGCTCTGCCGTAATAACTGAGTTTTACTTGAGTCTTTAGCCTGAAGTATAGTCTGTGGAATGTAAACCAACCCTTCTCCCACCCCGCCCCCACCCTACTCCAAAAAAAAAAAAAAACCCGCAATGGAAAAAAAAAGTAATCCGATTTCTGTCTTCAAAATGCGATAAACCAGGACTCCAAAAGGGGTGTAACACATTAATGGACTTGTACAAACCATCCTGTGCAGTTTACAACAAAAGGAAGGTAATATGGTTCAAGAAAATATCTTCCAAAACGCTTTTATGAATTAAATTTCCTGAATTTGTGACTAGGTGGAAGAGGTATTGCAGAACCGCCCAGCTGCCATTTCCATATAGGATGGGCCTTGTGAGGAGGTTGGGAATCCTTAGTGGTGTTTAAGGAATACGCCGGCCACAAATCCCCATCCTTCCCAATAATGAGTGATGGTGGACAAGGAAAATTTGCCATGAAATTAAATGGCCTTTTCACTGCTGATGCTACATTGCTGGCTACCTTTTTGCGTCTGTTTATAACTGTAAAATCATCCAGTGTTCCTTCATGTGTCTCAGTTTTACCTGTAGGACGAGGACTTCTAGCTGATTTCAGATTTGGTTTGACTGGAGGTGTCTGAAGTACAGGTCGCTTTCCCAGTACTAGTGTCCGGTAATTTTTTCTCACCCTGGCACCAAATTTATATTCCCCATCCTCAGGTTTTGGAGAACTTAAAGTGCATGAAAGGCCCTGACTCTGAGCCAGTGGATTTAAGGAAGGAGTTTCTTTTTCAGGGCATGCAAAACCTTCCTTGGCTGTGGTTAACAAGGCGTCCTCCTCTTTACTTTCAGTCACACTGTAAAACTCACCCTTTGTATCATTGCACTCACACTTTAGCTTATTTGTAATAAGGTCAGGTTCATATTCTTCATTAGCACTACTGTCTTCTACTTTGATTTTAATATTGTGCAGAAATGGCAATGTCTTGTCGCCCGTGTCAGTGCAGGGATTCTCGGCTTTAGTTGGTGCTGCAGCTGCATTCACCTCGGGATGGGTTGACGAAGAGGGCAAATCCGTAGCAAATTCAGTACAGTGAGGGATTTTGGAATCTTTTTCTGAATTTGCTGCTGCTCCTGAAGAATCATTCTTTAAGAACCTAGCAGCTATTGAATTGTTATCTGCACAGTGTGTAGTAGGAGTTGCTTGTAGGCATTTCCTAGCCTCTCGGAGTATTCTTTGTTGTGGAAATGCATTGTTTGTCTTTGGGCTAGGTGAAGAGGCCCCCTCCGCCAGGCAGTTAATTGTCAGGTCAGTTCTCTTTACAGTGCTGGAAATTTCAGAGTGTGGGAATGTAATCTCAGATACCCTATCGTTCCTTATCTCTGTGAAACAACTCCCCAGGCTGGCGGGGCAGTACACCGGAGACGCTTTGGGAGCCCAGCTTTGCAGATTCCACTCCTCGGGCGACTCCGCTTTGACACTACTCTTGAGGTCGGGAAGTCTGCCGGCATCCTCGAAAGCAGCGGGTTTGGTTGCAGCAGCGGCCGAGGCCAGATGGTACAAGAAGTTGGCCTGCGCCTGCACGCTGGGAGGCTTGCAGAAGCTGGTGCGCCTGAAACGGATGCTCTGCACTGACACTTGGCTGGAGCCGGAGCTGGAGTCTGACTCGGTGGACGAGTCCTCCTCCTCCGAGCTGACTTCACTGGAATCCGAGGCCCCACTGCCCCCCTCCTCCTCTTCCTCCTCCTCTTCCTCCTCCTCCTCTCCCTCCTCCTCCTCTTCCTCCGAGGACACAGAGTTGCTGGAGCTGGACAAACTGGAGCCAAAATCTGAGTCGTTGGCTGCATGGTCCGAGTAGGAGCTGGACTCGGAGTCGCTGCTGCAACTCTCGGGAAAGCTGCCCAGATGGGGCTGAGGCCGGTGGTGATGAGGGGGGTGGTGATTCTGCTGCGGCTGCTGGGCCCGGTGGTGGTGGTGGTGATGGTGGTGATGATGGTGGTGGTGGTGGTGGTGGTGGGGAGGCGGGCAGAAGCCGTTAACCAGATGAAACCTCTCCAGGCAAGTGGC